TTTTATTAAATGCAACTGTCTATGACTTTTTTATTAGGATATTAATTATTATTATTTATTTATTTATTTATTTTTTTTTTTTTTTTTTTGAAATAAAATCGAAAAAGGATTTATGTTTGAAACGAGTAGATTTTATTTCACATTTTTGGCAGTCTTGCTTAGCAGGTTGTTTATATAAAGTAAAGATACGAGCGATTTTAGAATAAACATTTTATTATTGCTTCGTGCGAACTTGGCTTAATAAATGTGTACTCCATCTTTTTTATTGAGTTTTTCGCATTTTTAGGGTATTTTAAATCTTCGTGTTTTAATAATGAAAATTAAATTTTCGTATTTTGACTATAACTTCTTTATTATTGTGTTTTTTTGTAATCACGCTAGAGTCAAAACAAATAAAGATGGGAAGTTACAATTTGGCACAGATCAGTCAATTTAGAATTAGCCATAGACCGTTCAATTTTTTTAAGTCCACATTTCCAATACGCCAAAAAATGCTATAGACCCTGAAAAATATTTTTGAAGAAGTCTATATTTGCTATATAAGCGCTCAAAAACAATTTTTAGAAATTCCATGTTTGCTATAGACCGGCAAAAATTATTTTTAAAAAACCCTCTTTTGCTATGGGTCCTCAAAAAAATTTTTAAAAAATCCACGTTTGCTATAGACCCACAAAAATTATTTTTAAAAAATACTATTTTGGTATGGGTTCGCAAAAATAATTTTTAAAAAATACTCTATTGCTATGTGTCCTCAAAAATAATTTTTAAAAAATCCACCTTGCTGTAGACCCGCAAAAATAATTTTTTAAACATCCCTTTTTGGCTATGAAAAATAGTTTGTAAAATATTCTCATTTGCTATGGGTCCTAAAAAATAATTTTCTAAAAATCCTCTTTTGCTATGGGTCCTCAAAAATAGTTTTTAAAAATTCGACGATTGCCATTTGGGCACTCAAAAATAATTTTTAAAAAATTCACGTTTGCTATAGACCCGCAAGAATTATTTTTAAAAAATTCTCTTTTGCTATGGGTTCACAAAAATAATTTTTAAAAATTCGACGTTTGCCATTTGGGCACTCAAAAATAATTTTTAAAAAATCATTTGCTATGGGTCGTCGAAAATAATTTTTAAAAATTCGACGATTGCCATTTGGTCACTCAAAAATAATTTAAAAAAATCCTCTTCTGCTATGGGTCCTCAAAAATTATTTTATAAAAAATACTCTTTTGCTATGAGTCCTCTAAAATAATTTAAAAAAAGCCTGCTATAGACTCGAAAAAATTATTTTTAAAAATTCCTCTTTTGCTTTGGGCCTTAAACAGTATTTTTAAAAAATCTTCTTTTGCTATGGGTCATCAAAAATAATTTTTAAAAAATCCACGTTTGCTATAGGCCCTCAGAAATAATTTACTCTTTTGATACAGGCCCAAAAATAATTTTTAAAAAACACTCTTTTGCTATGGGTCCTCAATAATAATTTTTAAACAATACTCTTTTGCTACGGGTCCTCAAAAATAATTTTTAAAAAATCCACGGTAGCTATAAGCCCTAAAAATAAATTTTTAAAAAATTCTCGTTTGCTATAGACCTTCAAAAATTATTTTTATAAAATCCACGTTTCGAATAGGGCCTCGAAAATAACTTTTAAAAAATCCATTTTTGAAACTTTGATAGAGCCTCAATTTGCTTTTGAAGTAAAAATTGTTCTAGATTACTTTTAATAACTTTAAATGCAAATATGTTAAACTTTTTTCCAATTGATAACTGTTGATTGCCAAGGATTCAATCTTTCATGGACAGCTGACACCTTAGTTGACATCTGAAAAAATAAGAAAAAACAATATCAAATATTACTTTAATATATTTTTTCATTATTACAAACTTTTTAATATCTGAAGGGCCCCACTTGATCGCCTGCATCATTTTAATATAATTTTTTTCATTTCTCACTACAATTTTTTTTTTCCATATCATTGTTGCTAATGATAATTTCTATGAATTTCATTTTATTCTAATTAAAAAATAATTACTAAAGCAAATCGGCAAAATCAACTACAGCTAACTGTCTTAACGTCAAAGCTATCAACATTCGCTTTATTGTTGTTGTTTATCTTTAAATCACAACCCTTCAATCCAAAGGTCGTTTTCTATTTAGAAAAACAAATTGTAAGTGGAAAGATTCCCTCTAATTCATTTCGTATGCGTTTAGAATGTTTTGAAAAGAATTATTTAAATTTCGAAAAACAATGTTAAACCCCCGAGTTCATGACTTCTCAGAAATGTATACTTAAATAGTGATTCATTAACATTCGAGATGCCATTGAAATAAGGGCTTTATTGAGCAATTACAACAAAACAGAATACAAAACTAGCTATTTTTTGAAGAGAAGAAAAAAATTTCATTTTTAGACCCTTTGTTGGTTTGTGTACTTTCAGCCTTATGGCTACAGAGGGTATATATCATTTGATACGGCCAAAACGTGCCACATTGCAATAACGGTCTTAGACCCTAGTTCTCTTTGGACCAAATCCGTTTCAGGATATTTTGAGTCGATCTAGCGATGTCCGTCCGTCTGTCTGTCTATCTGGCTGGTGCGCACGATAACTCTCGAATGTAGTATCCGATTTGGTTCAAACTTGTTACATCGTAATATTACTATCAAACATGCATCGAGTTCAGAGATGGGCAACATCAGTCCACTTGTTCTTGTACCAAAACCACAAAAGGTCAAAATTCTCAAAAAAACATATTTTACTTCCAAGAAAGAGAAAGGATAATCCGATTTGACTCCAATTATGCAAATTCTAATATTTGCATCAGTTCTAGGTCAAGTGAGAAAATTTACAATATCGGTCCACTCTATCAAGTACCTTCCCTCATCACAATATTTTTATACCCTCCACCATACTATGGAGGGTATATTAATTTTGTCATTCCGTTTGTAACTCCTCGAAATACTCATGTCAGACCCAACAAAGTATATATAATCTTGATCAGCGTAAAATTCTAAGACGATTTAGCCATGTCCGTCTGTGTGTCCGTCTGTCTGTTGTAATCACGCTATCTTTCGAACAAATTGAGATAGAAGGCTAAAATTTTGCACACATGTATATTTTTCCAGTAGGCAGGTTAAGTTCGTAAATGGGCCATGTAGGTCCATGTTATCATATAGCCCCCATATAACGGTACCTCCCGATATTCGGTATTTTGATGATTTTAGCGACATTATTCACCGGAATTGTTTAAAATTTGGCATTTGAAGTTCGTAATGGATACTGCAGCATAAAACAGAAAATGGGCCATGTAGGTCCACGTCTTCGTATAGCCCCCATATACCGTACCAAATGGTGGAGGGTATTAAAAGTTCGGCCTGGCCGAACTTACAGCTTTATTACTTGTTTATCATCCCAAGGTTTTGTGTGAAGATGGAATATATCGGTCCACTCCTTCTGGAATCTCCCCGACAAAGGGTAAAAATTTTGAATAACCGTCAAGCTCATAAAACGCGAAATTAACATCCGATTCCATTCAGACTTGGTACATCTCAATATTTCCATCAACACAATATCTGTTATGAAGATGGTAGAGCTCGGACCACTCCTTCTGGGACCTACCCCACAAAGGGTCAAAGTGTTGAATAACCAATTCAATTATAAAATTCGAAATAAGCATCAGATTCTCTTCATATTTCGCAAAAACCCCTCATTTCTGCTAATACAAGATCTGCTGTGAAGATGGGACACATCGGTCCACTTTTTCTGGCACCTCCCCCACAAAGGGTCAAGATTTTGAATTACCATGAAGGTGAGAATACATAAAGCGCTTATTTGGCTGGCTTCTTCGGAAATCAACCTAGGAAAAGAGCCTTGGGAGAAAATCGAACTAAGTCTACCTTAAATTCCTTTGTTCCTCTATGAAGAAGCATCATCTGGCTTCTTCGTAGAGGAACAAAGGAGTTTTAGGTAGACTTAGTTAGATTTTCTCCCTAGGCTCATTTCCTAGGTTGATTTCCGAAGTCAGAAAAGCTTTTTATGTATTTTCACCCTGAGGCTAATAATATGCGAAAATAACACCCGATTCCATTCAGACTTGGTACCTCCCAATATTTCCATCATCACAACATCTGTTGCAAAGATGGTAGAAAATGGATAATTTCTTCTGGTATCTCCGCCGCGGTTTTGAAAAACAAAACGATCGAAGAAAACGAAATAAGCATCCAACTCTCTTCCAATGGATGTGTGAACATCCAAATATTTTTTCTAACGCCTTCTGGTACCTAACCAACAAAGGATCACAATTTCAAAACTTTTATCTGCCATAACTTGCGAAACAATCGGAGATTCTTTACGACTTGCTATATCAAAATATTTCTCTTAGCCTTCAGAGCCTTGAAAATTTAAGACTATCCGACGATATATATGCAGACTGGGTATTCCTTTGCAATCTGCTTTAAATAAATACCTCCTTCAAATATATTGTGGGGAAAAGCAGTACGCACATCTCCAATTCAATACCATATCAGGATCAAATCGAATTTGTAGTGTATAGTATTTGTAATGTGTAAAGTTCCAATTTCGTGTTCGTCCAGAGGTGTTACAAAGTTGAGAACCAGGCCCCGAGACCGGATGGCCACTTTTAACGCCGCCAATCAGGATTCCGTAACAAATTGTTAAATAACTTTAAATGCAAATATGTTAAATGAGTGCAAATAACTCCTTTGAACTCTCATCGATTAGGGATACCTAAGTCGACTATCGACCAATCGATTTGTTATATTAAAAGGGTTAAGAAAGTCGATTTTCCATGCGATTAATTCACAATTACAAAAGCGAAGAGGAGAGGATCAACTGATATTGCAAAGAATATTTGATCCGATCTCTAAAAAGGAATATTATTCCAGAAATTCTCTCCATTTTCGCTAATAATTTTATAACATATATTATTTATATTCTTAATTTTATATATATTTTTTAATAATAATTTAATTTCTCCCTTCCAGAAATCCCAACAATGTTGACCGATGTCGGAGAATGGAGCGGTGTTACCGTTGATAATTACACCTTGGAATTTGAATTGGGCGAACCCACGGAAAAGACCAAAGAAGTTGCCCTCCGAGAACTGAGAGAAACACCAGAGAATCGTCAAAAGGGTTTGGAGGAGCTGAATAAATTGCTGGATGGTAAGAAAACATAAAATTTTGTGGTGTTGCAAACACCGATTAAAATGCACAGAAAATTCTCTCCCAGCTTCGTAAGACACGAAATATTGACATTACCAAACGATTAATTCCGTTGATAGAATTTGCATGTTTACTTTTTTTTTTTTTGTAAATGGCATGCTAGCGACTTTTGAACGCTCCCATTTTGGAATGGAAAATATTTCTGTGTCTCTACGAACACGTGACGTATAGATATTACTTTCAAATAGTCTGCGACTCAAGGGGGAAATGACTAATTATTGTAATATTCAAGTAGACCCCCCATCCCCTTTTGTTGGTATAAATATGTAGTTTTTTTTTCAAAAGGGTTATTGAAAGGTTAGTAATTGTAGAATATTAGAATTTTAATAACAAGTTGGAGTAATTGAAAGTTAAAGGGGAAATTGTTGTATTGTATTGAAATCAGGAATTGAATTAGAAGCCACATTAAAAGGTGTCTTTAGATGGGATAGAAAAAAATATTTTTTTAATCCACGTTGATAGATGTGGTAAAAAAAATAGAAAAATTATTTTTTGTAAAAATCCACGTTGGTAGATGTAGTAGAATTTTTTTTGGAAAATACCACTTTGATGTATTGGAAAAAAAATATTTTTTTTAAAAATCCACGTTGAAGATGTAGTAGAAAAAATATATTTTTTTAAAAATCCACCTTCATAAATGCAGTAGAAAAAATATTTTTTTTAAATTCCACGTTGATAGTTTTTGTAGAAAAAATATTTTTTTAATGCACGTTTACAGATGTAGTAGAAAAAAAATATATATTTTTTAAAAGTCCACGTTCATAAATACAGTAGAAAAAATATTTTTTTAAAAAATACACGTTGATAGATGTAGTAGAAAAAATATTTTTTTTAAACTCCACGTTGATAATTGTTGTAGAAAAAATATTTTTAAAAAATTCCCGTTGATAGTTGTAGTGGAAAAAAAATATATATTTTTTAAATCCACGTTGATGGATGTGGTAGTAATTGTTTTTTTAATCCACGTTGATGGATGTGGTAGAAAAAATATTTTTTTTAAAAATCCACGTTGATGGATGTAGTAGATTTTTTTTTTTTTTAAATCCATGTTGATAGATGTGGTAGAATTTTTTTTAAATCCACGTTTACAGATGTTGTAGAAACAAATATTTTTTTTAAAAATCCACGTTTATAGATGCATTAGAAAAAATATTTTTTTAAATCCACGTTGATGGATTGGTAGAAAAAAATATTTTTTTTGAGAAATCCACGTTGATAGAAGCAGTAGAAAAATTATTTTTTTAAAATTCACGTTTATAGATGCAGTATAATTTTTTTTTTTATACAAAATCCACGTTGAAATATGTAGCAGAAAAAAAATATATTTTTTTTTTTGTAAAAATCCTCGTTGATAGTTGCAGATTTTTTTTAATTCTCCTTGATCGATATAGTAGAAAAAATATTTTTTTTAGTCCACGTTGATAGATGTAGTACAAAAAATATTTTTTTTAAAAATTCACTTTTATAGATGCAGTAGAAATTTTTTTTTTTTTTTAATCCACGTTGACAGATGTAGTAGAAAAAATATTTTTTTACAAATCCAGGTAAAAAATACATTTTTTTTAAACCCACGTTGATGCATCTAGTAGAAAAAATTTCTTTTTTAAAATTCCACGTTTATAGATGCAGTAAAAATATATATATTTTTTTTAAACCAACGTTTATAGATGTAGTAAAAAAATATTTTTTTTTAAATCCACTTTGATAGATGTAGTAGAAGTAGATGTAGTAGAAAAATATTTTTTTTTTTAAATTCCCGATGATAGATGTAGTAGAAAATATATATTTTTTTAAATCCACGTTGCTAGATGTAGTAGAAAAATATTTTTTTTTAAAATCCGCGTTGAAAGATGTAGTAGAATTTTTTTTTTAAATCCACGTTTATAGATGAAGTAGAAAAAATATTTTTTTTTTATAAAATCCACGTTGAAAGATGTAGTAGAAAAATATTTTTTTGAAAATCCACATTGATAGATGTAGTAGAAGAATAAATATATTTTTTAAATCCACGTTGTTAGATGTAGTAGAAAAATTATTTTTTTAAGATCCACGATGATGGATGTAGTAGAAAAAATATTTTTTTTAAATCCAAGTTGCCAGATGTATTAGGTAAATTATTTTTTTTTAAATTCCACGTTGATGGTTGTTGTAGAAAAATATTTTTAAAAAATTCACGTTGATAGATGTATTAGGTAAATTATTTTTTTTAAAATTCCACGTTGATGGTTGTTGTACAAAAATATTTTTAAAAAATTCACGTTGATAGATGTAGTAGAAAAAAATATTTTTTTAAAATTCCACGTTTATAGCTGCAGTAGAAATTTTTTTTTTAAATCCACGTTGATGGATGTTATAGAAAAAATATATTTTTTAAAATACACGTTGATAGATGCAGTAGAAAAAATATTTTTTTAAAGATCCCCGCTGATAATTTTTTTTTAAAAAATCCACGTTGATAGATGTTCTAGAAAAATATTTTTCACAAAATCCACGTTGATAGATGCAGTAGAAAAAATATTTTTTTTTAAATCCACGTTGAAAGATGTAGTGGAAAAATATTTTTTTTTAAATCCAAAAAAAAAGAATTATTTTTTTAAAAATCCACGTTGATAGATGTAGTAGAAAAAATATTTTTTTATATAAAATCCGCGTTTATAAATGCAGTAGAAAAATATTTTTTTATAAAATCCCCGTTGAAAGATGTAGTAGAAAAATATATTTTTTTATTTTTTAAAGTCAGGTTGATAGATGTAGCAGAAAATATATTTTTTAAAAAAATCCACGTTGCCTAGATATTGTACAAAAAATATTTTTTATAAAAATCCAGGTTGATAGATATAGTAGAGAAAATTCATATATTTTTTTAAAATTCACGTTGAGAGTTGTAGTAGAAAAAATAGTTTTTTGAAATCAACGTTGTAGTTGAAAATATATTTTTTTTTAAAAAATCCACGTTGCCTAGATATTGTACAAAAAATATTTTTTATAAAAATCCAGGTTGATAGATATAGTAGAGAAAATTCATATATTTTTTAAAATTCACGTTGATAGTTGTAGTAGAAAAAATAGTTTTTTTGAAATCAACGTTGTAGTTGAAAATATATATATTTTTTAAAAAAATCCACGTTGCTATATATATTAGAAAAAATATGTATATAAAATCCATACACTTAGGCGCTCTTTGAAAAAATATTTTTAAAAATTTCCCTTTGTTGGATGGCCCTTGAAAACTATTTTTACAAATCTGTAGAGAACACGAGGAGGCTGAATAAAAAATTTTAAAACTTAACTTTGTTGGGATGATACTCCCCGTGATTGGGGATTAATTTGAGATGTGTCAAACTATAACTAATCGATCTACAACTTCAATTAATCGATCCACACATCACTGCCGCTTAAACGCTTTTTTGAAACGCTTGTCATCGGCTGGCTTCTTCGAAAAAGAACAAAGGAGCATAGGGCCAAAATCGAACTAAGTCAACCCAAAACTCCTTTGTTACACTACCAAGAATTAAGCCAGTCCAAAAAGCGTTTTATGTATTCTAACCTAAGAACGCTTTCTTGGCTGACTTCTTCGGAAAAGAACAAAGAAGCCTAGGGCCAAAATAAAACTATGTCAACCTCCCTTGTTTCGCTACGAAACGGCCAGCCACAGAAGATTTGTATGTTTTCTCACCTTAGTAATTTATGCTGAGATTCTCCTCTCAGACTGCCCGTCAAACTCTCCAACGCGTCTGTATTCAGTGGCAATGAACTTAGATATCTTGATGCATACTTCGAAAATATGATGATGAAATAGAGAACACCAACTCCTGATTCAAGGAAATTTCAGGATTAGATCAGAATAATAAATAACTTTAAATGCAAATATGTTAAAAACAAATGTAAAAACAAGGCCGGGTGCCATTTCTATTTATCTTCAATTAGGGATATCCAAGCCGACTATCGATCAATCAAAGCCAAGCTTTCAATTTAATTCACAGTTACAAGACATTATTTTAAAATACACTTTAAAAGATTGTGCAAATAGGTGGTGATTGAACAAATATTTTCAAAAAATCCGTAGGTGGTAGGTGAGCTTAGAAACAATTTTTTTTTTATCTGTAGATGGTAAAGGTTCCTTGATTTTTTCTGGGTTTTCAGTGGCAGTATTCTATTTGTTTTCATTTAGGGATATTTAGGTCGACTATCGACCAATCGAATTAAAATATTTAATGGGATAAGAAAGTCGAAGCCAAGTTTTCATAATCAATTTATTCACAGTTCAAAGCCATTATTTTAAAAACCTTTAACAACTGACGTTGGTTCTTCAAAAAATAATATCAAAAGTACTGAAGATATAACACGTCATCTTGAAAGTATTTTAAACCAATCATAGATGATAGGTGGCCCTTAAAAAATGTCAAAAAAAAATACATTTTGATAGTTTGGGCGGATAGGTGGTGATTGAGAAAATATTTTCAAAAGTCCGTAGGTGGTAGGTGAGCCTAGAAACCCAATTTTTCAAATCTGTAGATGATAGGGTTCTTGAAGTGTTGTCTGGTTATTCAGTGGCCATCCGCTTTCATATGTTGATGTAAGCTTTACTAATAAGGTGGGGAAATGGAGTACACCAACTGATTCAATGTAATATCAGTATCAAATGAAAATAATAAATAACTTTAAATGCAAATATGTTAAATAAATGTAAAACCAAGTCTCATGGGTTGGGGATATCTAGATCGAATATCGATCACTCGAATTATAATATTAAATGGGGTAAGAAAGTCGAAGCCAAGCTTTCTTAATCAATTTAATTCACAGCTACAAGGCATTATTTTAAAACCGTTTATCTAATGGTGTTGGTTTTTCAAAAAACAAATTGAAAAGATCTGTAGATCTAACGTGATTCTTGAAAGTATTTTAACAAAATCGTAGATGATAGGTAGCCCTTATTAAAG